ATGTCGGGAGGCTCTGAGGCAACCGATGCCGACGAGCTGGATGGACCGGGGGAACACTCCGCACCCAACTGGTGACTTACGAGCCCCATTTGGTCGACATCGTACAAGGCTGTCTCCACCTGATGGTCTGGAGAGTCTAGCACAAGTAACGTCGTTTCAGACGCGACCTGGTTCACCTGTATCGATGCCATCGGTGTCGAACCAGTCGGTATCGATGGTGGCGGAAGGGCCGGCGCTGCTGGCACAGAGTCCTTCTTAGCAGGCTTCAACGCCTTGGCCCCCTTCTGCGTCGCCACTGAGAAGTCCGACTTCCTGGCCTTCTTAGCAGGGGTGGATGCTGCGGAAGGAACGTTCGGTACCTTAGGTTTTGGGTTTGACCTCTCAGTATCGGACACGGACTTAACCTTCGACGTCGACGGCTTCGATGTCGATGCGTCAGCAGCGGAAGATATGACGACGGAGGAAATAACCGGCGGGTCAGCCATCGGTTGAAGCGCCTTCTCCAAAAGAAAAACTCTCAAACGTGCCGCTCTGTTTTTCCGAGTTTGGTTGGAAAACTGCGCACAATGTTCACAAGAGTCTGGCTTGTGGGTCTCCCCAAGACAAAAGATACAGTACTCATGTCCGTCTGGAGGAGCCAATTTAGATCCACAAGTACGACAACGGTTGAAAAATCCCCACTTCTTTGACTTTTTTGTCTTCTTCTTCTCCCTAGACTGAGGAGAAAAAGCCAGCGACAAGGAGGGTGGGGGGCGGGTTGGCCAGCGGCCCGAAGGCCTGAGGTAATTTTACCTCAGACGACGAAAAACAAAAAGTCTCTCTTTTTTTGTCAAAACATAGAAAGAAAAAGAAACTAAAGAAAAACTGAAGCGAAAAACGAGAGCTAATCACTAAAAAGTGATCCAAAAGCAGCGATCCGGCCAGACCTCTCGAAGAAAGGTCTGCTCAGCGCGGCGGAAAGGAAAGAACTGGCGGGATGTCCGTGCCTGCCCTTCTGGGCATGCTCACTGGGGCTCCTGAGCATGCTCAGTTGGGACAGGCACGAAAATCCTTGTAAGAGAGCTTGCTAGGCACCGGCAGATCCAGCGCAGGCGCACTAGATCCCATTGGTGTGAAGCACAGAGACCACGAAGAAGATCAAGTAGAGGTATGAAATTGGGCATACCCAAGCCGAAACTGTACCTGAAATTAGCTGTTGCAGGTCAGCTTTGGGACACCAAAGTGACTAAAAACACTCCTGAAATTCTTGGAGCAAAGAAAATGTATTATTCTAGAATTTTGAGAGCATTCTGGAGAGGTGCAGGAGAGGAGAAGGAAAGAGAGGAAGCAGCCTGGGAAACAGCTATTAGTCAATGCCTCTCTTCCGGCTCTTAAGGGAAAGCGAATGCTGATTAACAGCTGATGGTTGGGCAGAGCTAAACTCCACCCATGGCCTTTTACATCACAAAAGGGAAAGGACTGAACTGGCCCCAGACTTACCTGCTGGAGACATCTTCCCACGGCCGGCATTAGAGGCAGCAAAGCCCACCATCGCAGATGAAAAAGGATGGGTGGGTGGGATCATGGACTTCAGTGCCGCTTGGTTGTCAAGGTGGCCATCTCCTCCATTTTGAAATGAGCAACTGAATGGCAATATGTCTATCAAGTTCTCTGAACTCCCACCTTTCCTTTTAAAGTGTCTATCTCCGTCCATTGTGGAGATACAAAGGAAAAGGCATAACTCTGTCACCAAAAGCTGGGAATTCAAAGAACCTGACAGACATATAGCTGTATTGTTATATCAAGACAATGCTATTCAACTGCCAGTTTTATATGGGAGGGGGGGGGGAGGAAATGGCTCCAGTGGTGGCCAAGCTTTGCTGAAGTCCAGGATTCCGCTCACCTTTTCCCAGCGTGCCGGAGGGGCTCTGCCACCTCTGATGATGCTGGTGGTGGGGAGAAGACTCCAGTGGGGACAAAGGCAGAATGGTGATCCGGGGCCAGATTCGTTCTTCCTCACTCCTGCTGCTTCTGCAGGATGCATAGAAAAAATAATATCACAAATAATGGTCTCAAATTTTCAGGACCCCTCAAAACCCCATCCTAAATCGGTAACACTCCTCTTGAAAAAAATGGTTTAATGAAAACATGGCCCAATCTGAAATCAGGATCCAAAATTAATGCAAAACAGTTTGAAGCACACTCCTCCAGCAACTGGAGGTGGGATTGTTCGCCCCATTCTCTCTTTGCACTGCACGGAAGACGAGAGGTAGGTGTGTGATCAGAGTAACAGGTTCATGCGCCTTCAGCTTAATCTTGTGGTCTTCCACATTCTCATTTTCCTTGTTTGTAAGATCCTGTTGCTTGGGGGAGGGGGAGGGAGTTCTTTTCCACAGATGTTTTGCTCCTTCTAGTGGTCAATTTGATATTACATCACTGTATGTCTCACATAAAAACCTGATATGCTGAACATAAAGTGATGTAATATGGAATTGACCAGTAGAGGGAGCCAAAACACATGCAGAACAGGAAAAAACTCCTCAAGCAACAGGAACATACAAGGACAATGAGAATGCAGAAAAGCCCATTGACCTGATGTGATGTCTGAATGCAGACTAACAAACAGTGGCATGGTGGTTAGGTCTGAGTTCAAATCCTCCCTCAACCACTAAACGCACTGAACGACCCTGGACCAGTCACCCTCTCTCAGTCTAACCTACCTCACAGGTTTGTTGTCAGGATAAAATGGTGAAGGGGACAAAACCATTTTATTCATTTTCATGACTTGTATGCCGCCCTTCCATCCAACTTAAGGTCCCCAAGGCAGCAAACAATCAACACAATCTTAAAATACAGAAGAAACTATGTATGCCTCCCTGAACTCCTTGGATGAAGGACAGAGTTAAAGTGTACTAAATAAACAAGTACAGTGAAAATCTGCAAAATTAAAGAGGCGAAGGACGACGTCCGCTTTCCTACATGCAAATCAAGACACTGAGCAACTGAAGACAATGACTTTCCTCTCACCTTTCATAGAAATTCTCCCCACAAGTTCACCACACTCCCCACCCCATTCTCTTCTGGGACTTCACGTAGATTTTGAAATGACTTCTTAAAACAAGCTTGTTTTAGGAAACATAGTGGAAGGCTCCTTTTATATTATAATTCGTATGATCTCCCCGACTGGTTTAAAAACCGGCTCATGAACCAAAATTCAGGCTGAACTTGGGCTGGTTCGGAGGTGATGCCTGCCTTTCCCAACAAGTATGAGCTTTTTTGACGCAGTGAGTTTATTCTAATGCCATGTATTCTACCTTCTGGATAAAAGTGAAGGTTACATCACATGGTGGGGCACGAAATCTGGGCTTCATGTGATGGAGACCCTCAACAGCGAGCGACACCCACCCTCGAATCTGACAGATGCACATATTTGCAAACACTTTACATTCCTTCACTTTAACCTGATTAAAGCTCCTTGACTAAAAGTCTTCAGCAGTCAAAAACCCTTCTGTTAAGTAGCGTCGTCTGGACACAACACCAAACCAATGGAAAAATCTCACAGCAGCAAGGGTACGGTTAGAGGAATCCATCAGATAAAAGGAGTAAAGCTAGCTTGTGATGAGACAAAGATGAAAAATTATCTAGGTTAAAAACCTATTTCTAAGGCAAATATAAGGAGGACATTCCAATAAAATATGAATTGAACCACCAATTTTCCTCAGAGAACAATCACAAGGGCAGTATGTAAACTGTAAAGCAGCCTTACAGAGCTCTGTGTTAACATAAGGACTTTTGCATTAACTTACTTTAAGAGTGGTACACATTTCATATGCTGTGCAGCTCTCTCTCTCATCATCTTAAGAATTCAATCGTCTAGAATGTCATGGCTCAGGTGGGGTGTCACCTGATGCTGCCACCACTCTGGTTTTAGGATCCCTTGAGAAGGCCCAGAGCACCCTCCCAAGACCTTCAGACCTCCCTTGTTTGGCCGAATAATAGGTGTGAGGACCAGGCAGAGTAAACAGCAAATAAAAGGTTAATTTTTTATAGGAGGTCAGCCCAATATGGGAAACAAACAAGGTGCAAGAACAATAACGACCAGTGGGTAAAGAGAAAATAAACCAAATGCCCTAACACAACTAGACTCACGGTCCCTAGTCCACTGTCTCAGTGGGGCCTGAGTCTGCCCACCCTTCCTCTCAGGGTGAGGGCCTCTCCCTGCAGCAGCCTTCCCTCTGGCCCTGCTCTCTTGGAAGAAAAACAGCTCTTCTTCTGTACCAGCTCTTTTATTATAAGTCCCCTTTCTCTGTGATTGGCTAAAATTGGCACCAAAAACTGTCAGAGGCTTCTGGGAGTTGTAGGCCTGGCCTCCTCCCACTGCTACTCAGGCTCCCTGGGCCTGCTAGGCCTTGCTTGCACAGCCCAGATCATGACAGAGAGTTTGAAAGTTTTTATCTTAAGCAAACCCAGCAGGAAAAGAACAATTAACACCCTGCCCGAGGAACAATTCTGTGAAACTCAAAAGCTTACAGAATGCACTGAGAAACCTGACTTGCCCCCCCCAAGGTTTTGCTCCTTTTTGGACACCATCCCCCAATTTCTCCAACATAGCCAGGTCACTCAGGTGAGATAGGAAAGGAGTAAAGAACTCACGCCATCAAGAAGTTTCCTCCAGTGTTGGAGATGCAGCCTCTCGTTGTGGGTGTGGCATTTTTGTCATAACCACAGGTCCCGCACAACAGTCCCAGATAGTAAAAGACAAGGATGAGTATCACCATGCAGCAGACAAGTAAGCAGCACAGCCACCTGATCGAAACAACAAAGACAAGTTTCGCCGTTCAAGCATGTGGTGTGGTATGACATTTAAGAAGGCAATCAAAGCAGCCGTCTCTGGTGAGATGGCCAATGTAGTGTATTGGAAACGGCTACATGAATCGTTCCATTAAGCCCCCATGTTAAGCTTGAGCCGATGGAAGGCTCCTCAGAGCGAACTTGCTATTGGTCGCTGCACAACAACGGCCAATCAGGACTCTACCAATTCCCCAAGCGGGAAGAACTCTCATTGGTCCTTATCCGCACAACCTCATTGGTTGTTAATTGTAAATAGGCGTGGCTATGTTAGCCCGGGAATGTTTAAAAGGAGCCTAGCTCCCAATGTTAATCTGTTCTGGTTATGAATGCGTTTAAGTGCTTGTTCGTTACTTCAAAAAAGCTGAATCACTTGCTGAAATCACTCTCCGGATCTTTGTTAGCGGCGATCTAACAGCCAAGAAAGGCATGCAGAAATTAAAAGAACTCCTGAATGTTATTAATCGTTTCAATCCCATTCTTAGCACCGGTAAAACAAGTTAGGAATGCAAAAATATGCACAGTTCCAACGCACCCTTGCACCATGATCATAGACTGCCCTGGTGTAGCATGGGAGGACGAGTCCTCATTGGAGGAGGACACCCCAAGCCCCACCTCGGGCCTCCCCAAAGGGACCCTGAGCCAGCAGGGCCCTCCGGCCTGCCCACGATCAAAGCCCCTCAGTCTACCAAAGCACCCCAGGAACACAGTGAAGGGAAGGACTCTGATAAATGGCCTTTTGAAGTAAAGAAGATGCTCAGAAAGTTCTCTCATAATAACTAACTTACTAATACAGAAGCTGTGAAAAACAAGAACTCTACAAGTATATTGTTTTACTAAGACTTTGAATATTAATATTTAGTTTAACACGGATGTGATCTCCCACTCTTGGGTTTTTAGTTAGTGTGGGTATCGTTCCTTTATCCATAAATATAGTTCCCCTCCCTATATTTTTCTTTGTAGTTTTGTAGTCTCATTTAAAAAAATAATAAAAATACCCCTCTGGGGGTTTAAAAAAAACCCACACCAAAAAACCCACAATTGGCTGAGTGTCTCTGCAGAGTGCAGCCAAACCCATTCTACTACAGTATTGCAAGCCTTACACAGCAGAAAAAAATGTCTGCATTAATAAGTTTCTCAGACATTTGGATCTAAGAAGCTTCTACCATTTTGGCTTGAATGGTACTTTCCCTCGGCTCCTGTGGGCTGCAAATTTTTTAAAGACTTTTAGTAAGTTACGGACTGCTGGTACTTCACCTATTGGTACTGCGGTCTTCATTTTAGGGGAGACAAATAGAGCATGCTCAGCTTTTCCATCAATCTTTTTCTAGCATGGATGAGACGAGGGGTCCCCAAACTTTTATGGCCTGCAGGCACCTTTGGAGTTCTGACAAAGGGAGGAGGCCAATGTCCCCTCTAAGCTGTGGGGTCTTGTGAGCAAAAATTCTACTTTGTGAGCTCCCGGCATTAAAGTTGTGAGCAAGCGATTTGGCTGCTGCATCAATTAGTTTGCTCTGGAGCCATCCTTCCTGAGCTAAGATAAAAAATGTGTGAGCCGGAGGCTAAAAAACTGTGAGCTAGCTCACACTAACTCACCTTAGAGGGAACACTGGAGGCGGGCACAACTACAAAGCGACTGCAGCAGCAGCTGGAGTGAACCACAAAATGGCTTCCACGGGAGGCGCAGCCAAGCACAGAATATCAGGGAGCGAGGTTAGGCACAGTTCAAATAGTTACGCTTCAGCATTTCAGCCCAGAAGCTCACCTGGATACCTTTTAAAGTGAACCTACACAGTAATATTGTGAAGATCTTTGAGCTGTTGTGGCAGCTGTAAAAACAGGTTGCTTACCTGTAACTGGTGATCTTCTAGTGGTCATCTGTGCATTCACACCCAAGGGATCTAGTGCGCATGCACTGAATTGATCGGCATTGTAGCAAGCTCTTAATGGATTTTCACGCCCAGACCACGGGCATGCGCAGGAACCCCACCACGCATGCCCAGAGGGGTGGGCGCGGACATCCCACCAGTTCCTTTCTTACCGCTGCAAATCAACCCCTATGGAAAATGTAGAAGCTAACAGCAGCGGGGAAGGAGGGTGGGTGGTGGGAATGCACAGATGAACACTCGAAGATCACCAGTTACAGGTAAGCAACCTGTTTATCTTCAACGTGGTCTCTGTGCTTCACACCCATGGGAGATTAGCGAGCAGTAGCCTACCTGGAGGAGGGTGCTGGCAGGTCCTTACTGCGTAGCCGAAGATAAGATGTGACGTCCCATGTTGGTACTAGAGTTCTTTCGGACGTCTAGGGCGTAGTGCCTTATGAAGGTGTTAGGCGTAGCCCACGTAGCTGCTCTGCAAATGTCCATCTGGGGCACTCCCTGGAGGAAGGCAGTGGAAGCTGCAACTGCTCGGGTTGAATGGGCCCTGATAGGGCCAGGCAATGGCTGTTTGGCGATCAGGTAGCAAAGGCAGCTGAGACCCGCAATCCACTTCGAAAGGTGCTGAGCCATGATGCGAGTCCCCAGCCTTGCTGGTGCGTATGAGACGAACAGTTGGGAGTCATGTCTTGCTGGGTGGGTTCTGTTCAGGTAGAACAGGGGCGCACGCTTGACATCCAAGGTGTGTAACAGTCTGTCCTCTGAGGATGTCAGAGCCGGGAAGAAATCCGGGAGGAAGACCTCTGCCTGTAAGTGGAATTCTGACACTACCTTTGGCAGGAGCGAGATGTCAGGTACGAGGCGGACACCGTCTGGCAAAAAGGACAAGTAAGGTGTGTCATGTCTGAAAGCCAGTATTTCTCCAACTCACCTCGCCGAGGTGACAGCAACCAGAAAGGCCGTCTTCCACGACAGGAATTTTAGGTCGCAAGTTGCGAACAGCTCAAAAGGTTTCCTTGTGAGTTGACGAAGAACTAGGGGAAGGTCCCAGGGGACGACAGGAGTTTTGATAGGAGGGTAGAGGTGCAACAGTCCCTTCAAAAAACGTTTTGAAAGCGGATGAGAGAACAGTGTGCATCCCTAGACTTGAACATGGTAGGCCGAAAGTGTGGCCAAATAAACTCTTAACGAGGAGTGAGAAAGTCCCGAGTCAGCGAGAGACAGGAGGAATTGAAAAACTTTCTTAAGACCTACGGAGGTGGCTCGAGGGGCATCCTCACCCAAGGAGGAACAGAATTTTTGCCATTTGTAATGGTATGACTTTTACGCAGTAGGCTTTCTGGCGTTTAGCAAAACATTTGCTACGAGGGTGGAAAAGCTGTGGACGCTATTCTCCAGGCTGTCAACGTCATCCGTGGCACGTCGTGGTACAGGAGAGGGGAGTCGGACAGGAAGAGGAGGTCCTGTGCCGGAGGAAATTGGTGGTAGACCCCTGCTGATAAATCGAGGATGGTCGAGAACCATGGTTGCCTCGGCCATCACGGGGTTATCAGGATGCAGTCCACACTGTCGCTGATGATTTTGCGGACCACTCTCAGAAGCAGGGGTAGTGGAGGGAAGAGATAGAGAAGTTATCTGGACCACGGATAGAGGAGACCATCTTCTCGAGACTGTGGGTCCCTGCCACCTCGGCTGCAGAACAGAGGACACTTTTTGTTGGCTCTGGTGGCAAAAACATCTACTTGGGGAACTCCCCACCTGCGGAAGAGTGGGAGAAGGTAGGTTGGGTTCATTTCCCACTCGTGGAGACTGAGTCCTGCTCGACTCAGATGGTCTGCCTGTACATTCATGTGTCCTGGGATGTGTGTGGCTACCAGGAAGATGTTGTGGGCGATACAAAGGTTCCATAACTGGATGGCAAGGTTGAAAAGGCGTAGGGAGACAGTGCCCCCTGGCTTGTTGACATAACTGAGGGCAGTGGTGTTGTCCGTGAGGACCGTAACAAATTTTCCCTTGATCAGAGGTAGGAAACTGGTGACAGCGAACTGTATTGCAAGCAGTTCCAGGAAGTTTATGTGCCATTTTCGTTCGTGAGTGTTCCACTTGCCTCCGACACAAAGACCCATCATGTGGGCACCCCAGCCCGGCAGGGAGGCGTCTGTGGTTAGGGTAATTTGGGGTGATGGAGGATAGAAGGGTGCTCCCTGGAAGAGATGGGAAGGGACAGTCCACCAAAGTAAAGTGTCTCGTATATTGGGAGGAGGGGTTAGGAGGGTGGTATGTGCGTTTTCCCTTGGTTCGAAGTTGGGGATAAACCATAGTTGTAGGTGACACATTTTTAATCTGGCAAAGACCATGACTGACGTAGTAGTGGCCATAACGCCGAGTGTATTTGGAAAGCCGTAACTGAAGGTTGGGTACAGATGACAGTGGCTAGGTGAATGATGTCTACTGCTCTGTTTTGTGGCAGGTGAGCCATGCAATTGTGGGAATCTAGTAGGGCACCGATGTACTGTATTTTCTGGACCAGTTGAAGTTGAGAGTTTTCCAGATTGACTTGTAGGCCCAGGTTTTCCAGGAGTACCAGTGTTTGAGATCAGGGCGTCCTTGGAGGATGCTACCAAGAGCCAATCGTCGATGTACGGGTAGATGGAGATACCCTTGGGATGAAGGAAAGCCACGACCACCACCATCATCTTTGTGAAGACCCTTGGTGCACTTGAAAGGCTGAATAGGAGGGCTGCATATTGGTAATGATGTTGACCAATTGTGAAGCATAGGTATTGGCGGTGGGACGGGTGGATGGTGAGGTAGAAATACGCGGCTGTGGAGGGGTGGATGGTGAGGTGGAAGTACACATCTTGGAGGTCGAGGGTGGCCATCCAGACGTTTTTCTGGAGGAGTGGCAGAATCTGCTGCAAGGACACCATGCAGAAGCGGTGGTAGGTCACAAAGCAGTTTAGCGCCCTTAGATATAATATTGGTCGAACGCCTCCATCCCGCTTTGGAACGGTAAAATAATGGGAATAGAATCCCCTGCCCTGTAGATGAAGTGGCACTGGCTCGATGGCTCCCTTCTGCAGAAGGATGGACACTTCTTCCAGGAGAGCTGGAGAAGAGGGTGTGGAGCGGAAGACAGGAGTAATGGGGTTCTGGTGGAATTGGATACGGTAGCCTCAGGTCAAGATGGACAGCACCCATTCATCTGTGGTGATATGTTGTCAGGTGTGAAGAAAGAGAGATAGACGGGTTTGAACTGACTTGGTGGGAAGGAAGTCAAAAGCCCTGCTTGGAGGACTTCGCCTACTTAGTGCGGAAAGATTGTTCTCCGGATCCAAACCTGGGTTTTTGAAAGGTGGTTTTTGGCCTCCTGAAGACGTACGTGGTCTCCATTGTCTGTCAGGAGATTGACGATTCGGAGTGTGCTTTTGCCAGGGCCTAGACCAAGTGCGAGGACGATATTGTTGCCTCATGGAGGATGAAACTCCTAGAGCGCGAGAAGCCTTTATGCTCTTATCCATATCTTGGAGTATGGAATCGGTAGTGCTGTTGAAGAGACCAAGGCCATCGAAGGAGAGGTCTTCGACATAAGACCTAGTATCTTGTGGAAGATTGGTATTATGGCGCCTCCTTAGAGCTATTGCTGAGGCCATTGTTCTTGAGGAAGCGTCTAGGGCATGTTTGGAAGTGTTGATCTGCTGCTTCGCAAGTACCATGCCTTCCTTCTGAATAATTCTGGGTGCCTGAAGCTTGTCTTCGGGGAGATGAGTCAGGAGTTCAGAAAACCTTTCCCACAGAGTGTACTGGTATCTGCTCACGCTGGCTAAGTAATTTGTGGTTTTTACTGCCAATGCTCCTGTGGAGTAGATGCGTCTCCCAAACGCGTCTAATTTTCTACTTTCCCTGTCAGAAGGTACAGAGTGTGTTCGTTTGGACTTGGACGAGAATGTTACAACCATAGAGCTTGGCTGAGGGTGGGAGAATAAAAATTCGGCTCCGGTCTCCTGGACTCTATACATGTGGTCCAGGCGTCTTGTTGACACTGGAGCTGATGAAGATTTCTCCCATGGTGCTTTTGCAGCTTGTAAAAGGACCGTGGACATGGGCAGTGCTATGGTAGTGGAGGTATCCAGTTGCACGATATCGAAGACGGCATCTATAACCTGTGGCATTGTACATTGTACAGCTTGCTACAATGCCGATCGATCCAGCGCACACGCACTAGATCCCTTGGGTGTGAAGCACAGAGACCATGTCGAAGATCTGAAGCAACTTTTCAAAACTTGGCACAGCCAATCAGATTTCCAATGACAAAGTCCCACCCAGTCCTCCCCGCTTTCTACGGACACTTGGCAGATGCCAGGAAAGGTGCTGGCAGACTCCATGTTGCCCATGGATTAGAATGATACTTCTCCTTTTCCACAAATCCGTGGCTTTAGCCATATATAAAGGCCTGGTTTCAAGCAAACGAGACCCAAAGGTTGGAACACTTTCCCTATGAAGAAAGGTTAAAACGCTTGGGGCTCTTTAGCTTGTAGAAAGGACGGCTGAGGGCGGGGCGATATGACTGAGGTTTATAAGATTATGCATGGGATGGAGCAGGTCAAGAAAGAAGTTCCTTTCTCCCTTTCCCACAAGACAAAAACTCGTTGGCACTCCATGAAATTGCTGAGCAGTCGGGTTAGAGCAGATAAAAGGAAGTACTTCTTCACCCAACGAGTGATTAGCACATGGAATTCACTGCCACAGGAGGTGGCGGCAGCTGCAAGCATGGACAGCTTTAAGAGGGAATTGGATAAACATATGGAACAGAGGTCCATCAGTGGCTATTAGTCACAAGGTACAGATAGGAACTCTCAGTCTGGGGGAAGGGATGCTCTGTATTCTTGGTGCTTGGGGGTGTGTGCAAGAGTGGGAGGGCCCCACTGATGGACCTCCTGATGGCACCTGGTATTTTTGGCCACTGTGTGACAGAGTGTTGGACTAGATGGGCTATTGGCCTGATCCAACATTGGCTTCTCTTATGTTCTTATGAGGACACAGAGCCCAGAAACAGAAAACCCGTATGACGGAGTGGGAGACTCCCCAGATGAATATGACCAGAGTTAGGCCAATTCTATTCCAGAGTTAGGCACATGCTAAAGATAGGGTTGCCAAGCTCCCTGTGGGGCCTGGAGAGCTCTCAGAATTACAACTGATCTCCAGAAAACAGAGATCAGATCCCCTGGAGAAAATGGCTGTTTTGGAGGGTGGACTCTGTGACATAATACCCAGATGCGGTCCCTCCCAAACTTTCCCCTCCCTGGCCTCCACCCCCAAATCTTCCGGAATTTCCAAGCCGCAGTTGGCAACCCTGGCTAAAGTCCACCAGAAGACTTTAAATCTGTGTTCAAAACAGGTTTCAATATACTCATGGAGACCAGGCCTCCTTCTCACCACAAGGCTTCACCTCTCCGTTCTTCCGTAGCAACAGGCCCGACTTCTCCTCTTGTCACTTCAGGTGCTTTCCTATTCTTCATACAACTCTTTTGTTTTTCTAAAGTACCGGTAATCTGATCTGGGCTCTTAACTTTATCTATCATGAGTCAACATCTGCCACAAGCCATCAAGGAGAAAATCTCGACAAAACTTTGGTTCTCATCTTCTAGGCGGCAAATTTCCTGTGAGCTGGTTCTGGGACAGGCAGGCTAAATCTCCTGTGAGCTAGTTCTGCAGATTTCTGTTCATGGTTCAATTTTTGTTGTTGTTGTTATCACTCCTGAGAGCCAGTTTTGTGTAGTGGTTAAGTGCGCGGACTCTAATCTGGGAGAACCAGGTTTGATTCCCCACTCCTCCCCTTGCAGCTGCTGTAAGACCTTGGGCAAGCCCATAGTTCTGGCACAGCTGTTCTTGAAAAAGAGCAGTTTCTGTCAGAGCTCTCTCTCAGCCCCACCTACCTCACAGGGTGTCTGTTGTGGGGAGGGGAAGGGAAAGGAGTTTGTAAGCCACTCTGAGACTCTTTGGGGTATAAATCCAATTCTTCTCTTCTTCTTAAAAAGAAGTGTTTAAATTTATATTTTCCCTCTAGGGAAAGTCTAGCTGCATTTCGATCCCTCACTAACTACTGTTTGTTTGTTGGGGCCTACATTTCTAGGACACTTCAAATTGGTACACTGATTTGATCTACCTGAAAACGTGGCTGTGTCAAGAGCCTGGCGTTTCCTCCAGTTTTGCTGTAGGTTTTACTTTCCTCAAACTTTCCTCAAACGTGACACAGTCATCGGATTAAGTTGGGAGAGTAGTAGTTTCACTGGAGTCCTAGAAGTAGAGGCACAATGCTATAGCCAAAATGGTATGCATGTACCTGTAGAAGTCATACTGCTCCACTAAAGGAAAATAATCTTCAACGTATGCCTCACTCTGAGTAAGATATAAAGCGAAGTCTGCCAGTATCTTCTGGACAGGAAGTGTTTTAGTAAATGCTGTGATATTTGAACCAATGGCTTCCAGGACATTTTTGATATCTGGAAGGGAAAAAAAGGAACACGTTTATGACAACTGTCATATAGCTGCATGGGATAAAACGATATACTAGCAAAAAGACTTCCTGACTTGCAGCCACATGAAGCATAACACAGCATGAAGAAAAGCAAGCCACAAAGACAGTCCCAGTGTAAGAGAGCATTTAACCACATGCAACCAAACATGATGCGAAATAAAAAGTTTATGCATGTTGGTGTAAGCCAGATTTTCCTACTTCTGTATGTTCATAACAAGCCCTGATGGGGATGACCCAAGCTAGCCTGATCTCATGGGACTGCGGAAGCTAAGCAGGGTCGGCCCTGGTTAGTGTTTGGGTGGGAGACCACCAAGGAAGTCCAGGGTTGTGATGTGCAGGTAGGCAATGGCAAACTACCTCTGAACATCTCTGGCCTTGCAAACCCCATGGGGTTGCCTTAAGAGCATTAATTAACTAGTTCTCACTGTGGAGGGAAAGCTCTCTCTGCATGTGGCAGATCTCAAGATGGAATACTGCCCACGGGGGGTGGGGGGTGGGATTGGCATACACAGAAACACAGGTGTCAGGGAGAAGGAATCTAACCTGACCTCCCCCCTGACAGGTGAGAGTGGATGGGCACAATCCAGATAGGAAAACAGGACTGGACAGGCCCTGGGGTGAATCTCATGGATCTGTCCTGTTAAATCCCAGCACCTTCCTCTAGCGCAAGGTGCCATGGTTAGCAGAACAGGGGAAGGTCCCACTGTCAACATAACAGATCCACGTGACTCCATCCACCACGTTTCTCTCTAAGCAATTAAACCAAGCGAGCTGCGCAATGTTTGCTTGAACTGGCGCGTCCCTGGATGATGCCCAGTCTGCTCAACCTGGATTCATTCTGGATACAGACACCATGGTCAAAACACACCTCGTACAATCCAGTTCATTCCTTCCTTTCCCCCCATGGCATGAGCACTAGAGGGCACCCAGAATTCATAAGGCTGAAACTTCTTCCAAGAAAGTTACAGTCAGGCTCACAGAACAGGTGCTGTACAAGACGACAATAAAAACCATACAGAAGTACAGATTTTATCTTTCTAACTCAAGAAGCCTTAAAAGAGGTCTGCGCAAAAGACTGCTGCTCCTAGGGCTGGCTACGAAATCCGGTCAGGCAGATTTCTCAATCAAATATTGGTGTCCTCGCCATCAAACAGGCAATTATACAACAAGCTGTCCAAAAAGCAGTATGTGCTTTTTGGTGTTTTTATTGTTGCCATGAACACTGGGGATATCTACTTAAAATTCCATACATCTACATACCTGCTGTGACCCCAAGATACAGAGTCCCCCCCAAAAAAAGCCACCCGTGCATTGCAAAATACAAGCCAAAAAGATAAAAGGGAAGGGGACTTTTATAAAAAGCATAAAGGACTAATAAATGTAGAGGGGGTATCATTAGTCCTCCATGTAATACAGAATTGTGTACTTCTGCAAAACAGAAACAAAAGAATAAAAACTTCTTAGAATTAGTCCTTTGTGTTCCAAAAACCTTATGTTTTCAGGGTTTTTTAACTGTTCAATAACTGAAATGAAAGGGCCTTCTGTAATTTTGTTGTTGTGTACATTGTAACATATGGATGCACTTTTCCTACGATCTCCCATTCTCAGGATTACGGGAGAACCGTATATCCGTGAGACTTAAAAAACCTTCTCCCCAGGGTTCATGTACTCATGGGAGACTGGGAAATGGGGAGAAGCATCCGCTCTTTAATCCTCAAGTTTTGCTCCTCAAAGATGCAGGAAACTGAACAGAAGATCATTGGAGGGAAACCTCTGGATTAAAGATAGGAAATTCTAATTGGAATGAGCTGGAGGAAATCTGCCCATCCCCAACTGCATCTCTACATAACACAGCAGCAGATGTTTTAACGACATTCTGAGTTCCACAGGAACAAAGAGGGCTTGCAAAAGGATCACAAAATCCTCTGCCAGTAACAAAACATGGGGTTTTCTAGAAGAAGGGGAGGGGAGGAGGAGGAGATTGGATTTATACCCCGCCCTTCACTTTGAGTCTCAGAGTGGTTTACAAACTCCATTCCCGTCCCCTCCCCACAACAGACACCCTGTGAGGTAGGTGGGGCTGAGAGAGCTGTGAGAGAACTGCTTGTGAGAGAACAGCTCTGACAGAACTGCAGCTTGCCCAAGGTCATCCAGCCAGATGCAAGTGGAGGAGTGGGGAATCAAACCCGGTTCTCCCAGATTAGAGTCCGCGCACTTAACCACTACACCAAACTGGCTCTAAGGATCTGTCAGAACGAATTTAGACTCTACATATGATACCCAAGAGATTGTTTTCTCTCCCCTCTGGATGTTTTCCCATCAAGATAGTCTGCAATGCACTCTTCACTCGAGAAGGACATTCAACATATTTGGGATGAGCACACTGGATAATCTTATCTAGAAAAGACCAGGGACATCCGTTGCTCATTATAGCTATAAATTTGATTGCTCCCAAGTTTTGGTTTTTTAAATGATGCACTGAAGTGACATAAAACACAGGGTGCAACCCAAAAACCAGGCAAAGGCAGATGTAACTTTCATACAGAACTTACAGAGAACTCGTCAACCACAATATGAGCCCAGCAGCTCCCCTGCATCACAACTGAGGCCCCAGCGAATCAAACACTGGTTCAGACGTCAGTCTTGCTTTCTCTCGAAGCTCCGGGCAGGCTGGCTGCTTTTTATTTTTAATATATGTTTATTCGTTTGAACTTTTATTTACAGCCTTTTCACAATTTAAGTGCAAAACTGCTCTGGCAATCTGGCACCTTGAATGGTGTCCACAGAAAGCTTTTCTGGTACCAAACTTAATCAGACATACACACACCCAGCACAAATGCAGTACTTGGGATTTCAGAGCTTGCTGCGGAAAATCACAAAATAAGTTTGAATCATATATAGTCAGGTATGCCCATTACATCTGTTTTTTACCCAAAGCAAGCAGCCTTAAGTTGCACTGATTCAAACAAAGAAAGTTAAGAACATGCTCAGTTCTCTCACTGAAAACAATAACTCGTGTACATCAAAGAACAAGATGGGAAAAGCTTAATGACTTAATGCATATTAACGATGACTGAGGAGCCAATGATGTTGCATATAACATCTCCCAGGTTAAATTACTTAAATTAAAAAGCATGGTATTTTGAGCAAGCTTTGGCTATTTTTTCCCCCCGAAACAGCTGCACAGTATGCCACGTTTATACCCGTACTGTGTTTTGTTTTTAGCAAACTTACAGGGAACGGCTGCTTATATTTTCAGAACAGGTCCACAATGCAAGAATAAAAATTAAAAGAGGTTAATGCATATTCTGGTGTTCTGAGTCCACCAACCCATGTCCTTTTGACAACAGCTTATGAGTTAGCTACTTTCACAGTGCTTCAATGATACAAAACACAAATCATATATTACAATCCGTGTTCCCTCTAAGCTGAGTTAGTGTGAGCTAGCTCAGAGTTTTTTAGCCTCCAGTTCACAGATTTTTGTCTGAGCCCAGGAAGGATGGGCTCCAAAGCAAACAAATTTATACAGTCGCCAAATTGCTTGCTCATAACTTTAATGCCAGTCGCTCACAGAGTAGGATCTTTGCTCACAAGACTCTACAGCTTAGAGGGAGCGTTGATCACAATCATTCTAAAGCAGGGAACAGCCAAACGGAAGCTGATGGGCCAAATCCAGACTCTGAAGCAAACTATGCTGGACCCAGACAGCACTGTCAAATGTTAACGGTGTGTGTTTGTGTTTTAAGAAAATCTGTGTGGTTTTTGCTCAAAAGGGAGAGAAAAACAATTGCAAGTTGTAGGAGTTGAGATGATGCACACACTAATGTTACATCTTTCTTCTGAAGTGTCCATGCAATGTGTATGTGAACATTCCTTGATAAATGTGTAAGTAATGCTACCCCTGAGTACGTATTGCTTAAGGGTGCCAACTGGCCAACTAGCAGAGGTTTTATATGCAGGAATAAGCAGTTGAAGCTTTTCATGGCACTTTAGTAAACAACAGCACCTGATAACTGCTGCAGATCACATTTATATTAAAGAGAAAACTGGGGGGACCAGCTTAAAAGAAGGCAAGCCCACCTGAGTGCCTTTGAGTTGTGATGTAGGGTTGCCAACCTCCAGGTGGGGCCTGGAGATCCACTATTACAGCTGACCTCCAGCTCACAGAGATCAGCTCCCCTGTAGAAAATGGCTGCTTTGGAGGGTGGACTCTGTGGCCTTGTACCCTGCTGAGGTCCCACCCCTCCCCAAACCCCACCCTCCCCAAGTTCCACCCCCAAAACCCAGAGTGGGCAGCCCTAGTTGTGAAACCCTCCCCCTGTTAAGTAGCAAGACTTTATTGAGAAGCTTGAACTTCAGGAGCGTTAATTGTGGGACCAAGATTCTGGAAGCAGCAGTCCAGGAACCAGACCAAAGCTGGCCATCTGTTATCTAAGGCATCTCCACATGAAGAAGATTTAACACCGATGACAAGCCCTTGTGGTTTCTTTCGGCCACGGTGTGTCTGCATAGATGTACAAGTGCGGGTGGTGTGTAGAAGGCGGCCACTTCTAAGCCTTTGCTTAGAGTCAAAGAATTGGAAGGGGCCATGCAGGCCATCTAGTCCAACCGCCTCCTTCCGAGGAGTCTGTAGTCACCGCTCCTGCCAGGAGAACATGTCCTTCCTCTGGGACTGGCTGCCAAGAGGACGTGGCTGGATTCCCGTTGTCTAGGTAATTCCCCCTCAAGTGACCCCCCTCCCCCACATCAATAATGTCCTCAGGCCTTAATGTGCTCATAGATACTTCCTCAGCCTACCACAAACAATAAACACACTCCAGTTCAGTTTTTTTTTAAAAGTATTAACAATATTATGACAAACGTTCATCACAAATCAGTTCGGACATTGTTTTGGCAAATCACTAGACATTGAAATACCAATGCAGATACTGCTAATATTTAAGAATGCTTGTTTATTTCAGAGACAAGGACTTATCTAATAAAAGCTAGATGAATACTAAGACAACAGCTCACTCAAAGCATTTAAACTATCGCAGCTAGAGAACGGATTCTCTTTTCTTTCTCACCTGATAAAATGTTCCTCGTTTGATTGAGCACCAAATCGGGAGTATTGTTAAATGCTGCATAACCCTAGAATTAAAAACTGAGATGTCCAAGAGCAGCTTGGAGAGAAAAGGTCAAGCCAACAAGTGTGCAGTCTCCAGTTTTTTTATGTTAGGTGGCTAAAAAGGGAAGCTGGAATATACATCAGTTAAGATTTCAAGTCGACTCCCCCCACCCCCACCCCGCAACTGATTACCCGTGAGCTTTCTTGGAGCTAACTCACACATCGACAAACACTCAATATTCTCACTGCTCAAGGCTCCGGTTCATAAGTAAACAATGGCAGCCATTACACACTGAAGGAGAAAGTGACACCCCCCTTTCTAAAAACCAAGGAGGCCTTGCTTCACACACCCAATACATGGGGCCGCCAATTCATAGGAACACCTCCTTGGATGTCCTCTGAAGGATCCCGTCTCTCCTCTACCACACGATGGATGACTGCCACCAATGTGTAGATTAGGCTGCTCCACTGACCCTATGAAATGCCGCTGTATTCAAGGCAACACCAGAGGACAAGCACTGTGAGCAACGGCTGACCCAACAGACACCACTCAACGATGTAGCCAGGAAGAGAGGAATGGCCATGTGTGAATCTGCTCGCCCCAAGTATGGCCAGTTCAAAGTGATGAAAATATTCTAAGCAGCATCACTAAGTGGATGGATGCACAGTAGGGTTGCCAGGACCCCCTTGGGGTGTGGGTTTCCCCGCTCGACGGGCCCCTTACCCGCTGGCCCGGATCCGGCTGCCAGGGGGAACCTCACCCTCAAAGTGCTGGGATCGCGGTGACGTGCCTGGTGTGATGATGTCACCCAGAGGTGATGTCATTGCGCTGGGCACATTGCGGGGGGCGCTCTATCATTTGAAGGGAAACGCTATGTTTTCCCCTTGAATGATAGTGGCCCCACCCCTGACGTGCCTGACCTTGATGACGTCACTTCCTGGTGCTGTTATCGCAGCGCGCACTCCAAAGATGTCCCGGAGAGGGCCTGAGACTCCCCCACTGCAACAGCAGTAAGACCTGGCAACCCTAATGTACAGGCATCTGGCCCGCCTCCATTCTGTGAGCTGCCACTGCTGAAGGAAATGTGCACAGGAGAGCGGCACAGAGAAGAAATCCCCCAACTGTGCGCCACAAGGGAACCCAGGGAGCACATGGCACCTGCTGACTCCTTTCCTGGAGCCCACCAAGTGCTTTGAGAAAGCGGGTGGAGCCAGGTAGGGTTTCTGCCCAGCAAGGCTTCTGATTGGCCACTGGAGATCTGATTGGATGGGCAGATTTTTTTTTTAGCAGCAACTGCCACCACAGCATAAGGATCTTTACTGTGTGACCAAAGGTTAGCTGCAACAACCGTTTTGTAGCTGGCTCTGCCTCCCGTAGCAACCGTTGTGTGGCAGCCATTTTGTAGTTGTGCCCACCACACGGGCTCAAAAAGGCTGGAGACTTGTGAACTAAAGGAACAGCTGAGAAACTGACCCATTAACTTGGTAAACTTCCACACGGTCTGTGAAGCTGGGACACCCCCCCCCCCTTTCCCTTTTGGCCTTTGAGAATCTGCCCCCATGGCCTGCTGCAGCTCACTACCTAAAGCCTGGAAGTGTCCTGCGTTGGCTAGGAAAACTTCCCCCAAGATAACACAGTTACTTCGCCATAGAAAAGCTTCCAGAAGGAACAAATTAAGGTACGTTAAGCTCACAACTCCCTTGTGGGCGATACTTTAGTTCAGACCTAATTAAAGAATCCTCTAGGCTTAAAATACCCAGCCACAGAGGCGGCTACCTGCTACACATCTGTATGATTAACTGCTCCGGTCTTTTCAGAAGACAGCCATGTCTGTCTGCAGTAGAACAGCTGGATTTGGGTCCACAATGGGCCACAGTGACCAACAAGAGTTTCAGGGCATGAGGGTTCAAGAGTCAAAGCTCCTTCATCAGATACCTGATGAAGGGAGCTGGGACACACGGAAGCTTAGCCCCTGAAAATCTTGCTGATCTCTTATCTTGCCTCCCGCTAATCGACTCTGGCCTTGCCTCCTGCTGATCAACCTCCACTTTGGGTAGCTAATTCTTGTCCCGTCTCTGCTCTGAAGCTATCCCTCTAGCACTGAGACATATAAGAACCGCTTGTCAACAAAAGATGATGCCGGTGACTTCTGTGCATGACCCAGTGGCCTAAGCCTCATCCTTGAAGAAACCCGTCAGGGTTGAGTGGCAAATCTTCTCATGTGTAAGAGTGCCATGTGCACCTCCGGTTTTAATTCAGACACACAGTCTGTGCATCTCCCCCTCTGCATCTTGCGCTCTCCTCGGGGTAATCTAATGCACAAGCCCACAAAATTAGCAGCGCCAATCAGGTTTCCATTAACAGAATAAAAGACTGTTCCTCCCTCCCACCCACCCAAAGATTTTCTGAAACTTACCTTTTGAACCAGACTGGAGAGGTCTATTTTAAGGACTTCATTGACTTTGGCAAGTTGAGGGCCCACTCCCGGCAACTGGAAGAAGGTGTGGAGGCAGAAAGTTTTTCCAAGTTAGTTCCAGCCCATATGTCAAGCTTACTCCAATTCCACCAATCAGTTTGCAACAGTGGGCTTTTCTGCACTCTCGTTTTCCTTGCTCATGCGGTCCTGTTGCTTCATTGTTGTTTTTTCTGCTCCACATGTGTTTTGCTCCCTCTTGTGGTCGATACGGTACTACATCACGTTATGTCTGCCACATCTCCCTGCATAAAAGTCTGCAATTTAAATTTGCAGGGAGATAGGCCGGACATAACGTCTAGAGGGAGGAAAACACACGTGGAAGAGAAAATCCCCCAAAGAAACAGGAACACTTTATGCCAATTAAGCGCTAACTTGAAAGAACAGGAACACACAAGCAAGGAGAATACGGAAAAGCCCAGCATTACACATTCTTAGCTATGCAGGCTCCTTTTTTGGCTAACATCTATTATACTTCTGTCCTGCTCTCCTAGGAGGTATCCAGGGGTCTCCCACACCTGCTCAGCTTCAGCAATGAGAAGCTCAGAAGGAGAAAACCTCCTTCCTGGGGTCCTCTCTTTTTGCTGCTTTTAAGCAGGATTCCAGGCCACATCAACTTCCTGTTCCTTGTTACTTGCAAGGAGGGCCTCACTTGCACGTAGGCCTTTTTCTTCCAAGCAGGCTACAGTCACTCGGTTGTCTTTGATTTGTTTAAAACCTTTCAATGCTGACGTTCTCCCCCAAATAGGGTTACTAAAGGTGGTGAACATCAAAACATTCAAACACCTCAGCATTAAAATGTTTGAGACATTAAAACGGCATTTAAAGTTAAGTATATAGAAAATATTTAAACAATTCAATAAAACATAAACACACAAACACACACAACACAACCAGGGAGGAAGGCCTTGTATCATTTAAATTGGTCACTGAAATTGTATTCTGGAATTTTCTGTGAGACATTTTTGATCCCTTTGGGGGACAAAAGTTGTTCATAAATGCTTAAACTATACCCAGCTGGGAGACCTGTTACAGCTATTACGTTCAGTTTCAGAACTGTAGGTCTTTGAGGAAGGGGGGTGGGGAGAGACTGTTTTGGCTATCAACAATAAACCGAATGCAATCACTCATTCACATTTTCAGGAGTCTATGTAAAAATGTTTACGCAAAAAACCCCACTCACTTCGATTACACAGAATGGACATCTGAGGTTGTCCAATAGGGTTGCCATTTCCCAGTTGGAGGCGGGGGATCCCCCGGTTTGGAGCCCCTCCCCCCGCTTCAGGGCTATCAGGAAGCAGGGGGAAAGAGACGCCAGAGGGCCCCCCCCCCAGCGGGAAATAAATACAACTTACCAGAAGCAGGAAGGGAAGAATCAGGAAGTAAACATGACATGCCTACGTCACCTGGAAGTGAAGTAGGCCATGTCGGTGACATTGGGGGGCCAACGCTCTGGTTTTTGGGCAGAACTCCATGGTTTGAAGCCAATTTTACCATAAAGTTTTGCCCCAAAACCAGAATGCTACCCCCGACGTGCCTACATCACTTCCAAGTGATGTAGGCAAGCCACGTTTATTTCCGGGTACATCTCTTTCTACTCCCAGAACGCTCCCTTCATCCCCCGTCTGCGGGTCCGACTGACCTGGCAACCCTACTGTCCAGCGCACTGTACTGAGTGCCCGATTCACATGCTGCCACATTGTCTGCACTGAAGGCACTTGCTGCTTAGCGTGTGTGTGTGTTCTCACATCCAGAGCTGCCGCATGCAGAGCCAAACTATTGGTCCACCTCGGTCAGTCCTGTCTACCCTGACTGACAGCCGTTCTGTAGACTCTTGGGCGGGAAAATGTCTTTCCCGACACCGGAGGCTTTTCAAGAGAGAGGCCAGGGGCCGAACCTGTGAACTTATTTATGCAAAGCAGATGCTCTACTTAAAATATTACGTATATGTTCCCCATTCTTCCACAAGTAGAAAAATTAAAATTAAAAAGCAGTACAGAATGTGAAAGGAAAAAAAACACTAAAAACAAAGACTAAAACACACACACAGACCACAATGCAAAGTAGTCGCCCTTATTGCAGCATCTGTGCAATCAGTGGCAGACACTGTTTCCTGTTTACTGCTTTTTAGAAAAGTAGGAGAATCATTTCAGCAAGTAGTCCACGCTCTGGGAATTGCACTGATAGACACGTCAACACTCTCTGGAAACTCCTTGATGCCTCCTGAAAGGATTATCAGTCAACGGCAGACAAGCGTTCCTCAGAGACTGATCTACCCATCAGCCCCTACAACGGGGGTCCCCAACATGGTGTCTGTGGTGCCAGGACATCGGCCAGCACCTTTTCTGGAGCCCACCAAGTGATTTTAGGAAGTGAGGAGGGGCTGGGCAGAGCTTTTGGCCAGCAAGGCTTCTGGATGGCTACTGGAGATCTGACTGGCTGGGCAGATTTTTTTAAAAAGTTGCTTTGGCGGCAGCTGCCCCCACGGCTCAGATATCTTCACTGTGTGACTGAAGTAAAGCTGTGGTGATCATTGTGCGGCTGGCTTCACCTCCTGCGGCAGCCATTTTGCAACAGCCATATTGTGGCTGCAGCCATTACGCCATGTCATAATTCCAAAGGTGCCCGCAGGCTCAAAATGTTTGGGGACCCCTGCTCCACAGTAACCTGCCTCAAGGAGCACTGGGGAGCACACTCCTGTACCATGCATGAGCCAAGGTCACATCCCAGAACGGAAATCAGTGCATGAAAGCTGCCTAGAAGCAGCGGGAAGTTTTGGAACACTAATGTTCCATGTTGAAGGCGGGAACTGGGTATGTGTATAGACTCCGTGGTTAAGACGCTGAGCTGCAGACCGGAAGGTTGGTAGTTCAGCAGTTCGAGACCCGAGAGCCACATGACGGAGTGAACTCCCGTCTCTGGTTCCAGCTCCTGCCAGCCTAGCAGTTTGAAAGCAAGAAATTGCAAGTAGGTAAATAGGTACCGCTTTGGTGGGAAGGTAACAGTGTTCCGTGCGCCTTGGCGTCTAGTCATGCCGGCCACATGACCACGGAAACATCTTTTGACAGGGCTGGCTCTTCGGCTTTGAAACGGAGATGAGCACCGCAACCCTAGTCGGATTCGACTGGCTTTCGAGCAAGGGAAACCTTTACCTCTACCTTTACCTTATAGACTCCAAAGCACTCCCCCCACCCTATTTGCAACCTGAAAACGTACGAAGACAGATCGAGATTTTTCTACTGCCTGTGAGAACCGAGACTCTTAAAAGGTACAGACAGCATTCCCTCTTACTCGGCTGAAGTTCGCGTGGATGTCGAGCTGACCCAGGGAGTTGCTGATGGCGTGGCAGATGGAAGCCGCCTGGGCCGTGGCGCACGCAGGGTCGGTGAGCGTGTCCATCAGGTGGCCTTTTACTTCCGTCAGGTTGCCCTGCAGTCCCTCGGTGCCCTCCTGCAAGACCTCCACAGAGACGCTCACGTTCTCCAGGGCCTCCTTGGTTTCTCTGATGGCTGTAAGGGTTAGAAATACTACTGAGTTAGTCTGTCAAGGGAAGGGCTGTCTTCTTTGACGGGCAGTGCCCTCGGGGAAAGGCCTCTCCAATCAGCGGCCGCCTGGTCCTTTGAACGGGAGATGCCAAGGGCTGAACCAAGGCCCTCCTGCATGCAAAGAGGCCCTTCCGCTGAGCCACAGGCATAATTTATTTTTATTTATTATTCAAATTTCAATATTCAATTCAATATTCAAAATTCAATAAGCCCTGGGAATACACCAGCAGAAGGAACTACTGCCCACAAAAGGTGGCAGAAGTTCAATTGGCAGGCTAACAAAACCTTGAGAAAAAGAACATCTCGAGCTGCACCTGTCACCTCTGCCTCCATCCAGTGGCATGTTGCTAGAGGTCTGCTTAGAAAGTATTCTTCTGGACCGGCCATATCTAAGAAAGGAGTGGAGGGGCAGAGTTTTAACTCCACCCACTAAAACGCCCTGCTTGCAAGCTCGGTGGGCAGAGACAGCCGTCTTCTACGTCTCTTCTGCTTCTTGTACGGCCGGGACAAAGCAATAGCTTTCACCGGGGGGGGGGGGGGGGCAGATTTCGTTCAGGAGCCTACAGCTGCCAACCTGAGCTGTTAAGGGAAGAATGCTACGATGTCTGCTTTCCGCTGAGATATACTGCTACGGATTCTCTGCACAGGCAAATTTTTAATTGGAAGAAGAAATGTGAAGAGACACACTTTTATACAGATGTGTATCTATATATCTAATAGCGACAAGTGGCCCCCATCTGCGGATACTTAAATCCACAGATTGGGACCACACCAATGCTAAATGTATTTTCCTGCAAACTTGGGGTAGTCCCCAGGTTTGCAAAAAAAACCTGCAAAGTTTTGAAAAATACATTGACGATTTAAATTCCCCCCAAGCTTAAAAAAAAATGTGCTGCCTGCGCATGCGCAGACAACACACCAGTTGAGGTAGCAGCGGCTGCCCCTGCAGGTGTCAACTCCAGGCCCGGCTGCCATAGCAGAGGATGCCAGGAGCGGTTAGAGGCCCAGCTGCCACAGCAGGGGACTCCAGGAGTGGCTTGGTACCCAGCTACTGCTGTGGCAGACACCCAGGGACCAGTGCTCCCTCTAAGCTGTGGAGTCCTGTGAGCCAAAATTCTACTCTGAGCTGCTGGCAGTAAGTAAGTAGTAAGTAAGTTTATTAAGAACAGTCATAAGACCAGCAAAATGAACCGAAATATTAAACACAGAATCTACAACATAAGAACCTTACAAGCTGCTGGCATGAAAGTGGTGAGCATGCGATTGGGCTACTGCATAAATCAGTTTGCTCTGGAGCCATCCTTCCTGAGCTAAGACGAAAATGTGTGAGCCGGAGGTTAAGAAGCTGTGAGCTAGCTCACGCTAACTCAGCTTAGAGGGAACACTGGAGCCATCCTTCCTGAGCTAAGACGAAAATGTGTGAGCCGGAGGTTAAGAAGCTGTGAGCTAGCTCACGCTAACTCAGCTTAGAGGGAACACTGGAGCCATCCTTCCTGAGCTAAGACGAAAATGTGTGAGCCGGAGGTTAAGAAGCTGTGAGCTAGCTCACGCTAACTCAGCTTAGAGGGAACACTGGCAGGGGCGCGCTCTGGGGTCGATTATTGTAGGGGCAGACACCCGGAGAGAGGCTGTGGGCCTAGTGTGCCAGCAGACCACTCTGGGAGCCGCTCCCTGCCTGGCTGCCGTGATGGAGCACTCGGGACCCACTCTGGGTCTGGCTGCACGGTGGAGGACTTCAGGAGAGCCTCTGGGGCCGGCTGTGGCAGTGGAGGATATGGGGAGCCGCTCTGGGATCAGAGTGGCCCCCAGGTACCGTCACCATTGCTGCAGGTGGGTGGTGGGGCCTGGAGTTGTGATGGACACCACCACAAATCTTGCAGGCCTCCCACTTGTTCTCCTTGACTGCTTTAGCACAGAGGCACGAACACAGGAAGCTGCCTTCTACTGAACGAGAGTACTTGGTCCATCACGGTCAGTACGACCTGCTCAGACTGGCGGTGGGCCTGCAGGGTCTTAGGCAGAGATCTTTCACATCATTTACGGCCTGAACCTTCAACTGGAGACACCAGGGATTGAACCTGGAACCTTCTACACAGCAAGGTAGTGCTCTGCCACTGAGTCATGGCCTCTCTCCGCAGCATGACACTCAGATATGCTTTGTTACACACAGGCACCGCATACGAATACCTAAGCCAAGGTTACGAGCATCACTACAACAGAACTACCAGGGCAGGGCGGGACTAAGCACAGAATGGCTGCCTTGGGGCGGGGTGGGGTGGGGGGAACACATACAAAATGTCGGGCGGTTTCATAAAGCATCCTCCTGTGATGAGGGCAGCTATTCCGGAAAGAGCACTTCCCAGAGACCCCAAAGGGGATGCTTCCTGGGGTCTTCTGAAGTAGTCTTGCTCCAATGAGGGGGAGGAACGTCAAGAACGGCTCTTCATGCTAGGGACAAGGTGTTTAGGGGAAGGAGGGCACAACTGCAGGTGGGCACTGTGACACCCGCAAGCATGTTAATAATGAGGGGATTCACATCTGACTGGTCCTTCAAGTGGGAATTAGAGAAGCATATAGAGCAGAGATCCATCAGTGGCTCTTAGCCACAAGGTATAAACAGGAACTCTCAGGCTGGGGCAAGGGATGCTCTGTATTCTTGGTGCTTTGGGGGGGGGCAACAGTGGGAGGGCTCCTAGTGTCCTGGCCCCACTGCTGGACCTCCTGATGGCACCTGGTATTTTTGTCCACTGTGTGACACAGAGTGTTGGACTGGATGGGCCATTGGTCTGATCCAACATTGGCTTCTCTTATGTTCTTATGTTCTTATGTTCCTATGTCCTCTTATTTGTTACATTTCCTCTCATTTTCTTTTGGCTGCTTAGTCTTCAAACACAGAAGGCTTTTGCCTGCTGAACTACTGCTAGGAATTCACTTGCTTTCATGTATCCACAGGGATGCCAGCTCTGGGTCAGGAAATTCCTGGAGATTTGGGGGTGGAGCCTGGGGTCAGGACAGTGGGGTAGAATGCCACAGAGCCCACCCTCCAAAGCAGCCATTTTCTCCAGGGGAACTGATCTCTGTAACCTGGAGACCAGCTGTCATTCCAGATCTCCAGCCACCACCTGGGGACTGGCAACCCGACATGTCCAGGACCTTTGGCTGCCCATGGGGCCTCATTCCTCCAATGCACAGCTCCCTTGATCACGGGCAGCACTACCGACTGGAATGATCGCATGGTGGGCGGCAGCCAGCGACTGCTTTAAATGTCACCTTTGGAGATCAGAGCAGTGAAAGGTAGAAAAGGAGAAGCATGGGGACAGGAGGAACCACGCAGGAAGGGTTCAAGCCAACGAGGAAGGCGCTTCACACAAAGCACTCAAGGCGTTTTACCTTTAATGGCCCTTTCCACTTTGACTTCCGGACAAACAGAGAAACAAAGCAGAGAGAAGAGAATGAAGATGCAGGGAGAGAAAAAGATTTGGGGGCAGCAAGCAAAACACTCCCACTTGCTGACGCACGGAACGAAGAGGTTAAGGAGTTGACATGTATCCCCCACACTCCACCCCCAGGAATACAGGCCAGCCTTGGAGAACTTGGCTCCTGGAGTTGGGGGACCAGCTCAGACCAGCAGCCCGGCTGGCCAGGCGTTGTGCATGGAAAGGAGTGAAACTGACTTCCCCCACCCCACCTTCCACTGATGCAAGAGGCAAGAAGGCAACCTCATTTCCCCCGGTGCAGCTCCCCAACCCTGCAAAGCTATTAATCCACACGTGTACCCCAATATCAGGAGACCAGTCAGAAAGGACTACGGGGGGGGAGGGGAACATAGGATGCATCCACAACCACCAATACCTTCTGCTGCTGGACTGAGGAATCCCACCCAATATATTTGGTTGCCAAACATACTACGACTATCTACTTTTTACCAGCGAAATCTACCAGCTTGCAGGCTAGGTGCCGGGGGAAGAGGCTGTGAACTATAGGAACAATCTTAACTTGGATTCTGGCTAAAACTGTACATCTGTTCGTTCAACTGGGCCCAGGAATCCTGGTCTCTGATCCAACAGGTGTACAGCAGTGGGGCGACAGCCTGATTCTCTGCAAGAGGGGGGGCCTGACTGTATCATTTGCCCTGCAGCCAGCTCAGCCCAGCTTTCCCCTGTGAGGCAGCCAAATTTAAGTGCAGAGTCTCAGCTAGAAGGTGATGGCAGGCTGCAAAAGAACTCGTTAGCCAAGGGTGTCAAACATGCAGCCCGGGGGCCGGATCAGGCCCCCAGAGGGCTTCTATCGGGCCCGCAGTCTTCTGCTTCTTCTTCCAGTTCTGCTGCTGCTGCGTCATTGTAGGTCTGCAGCTTACAGATACACACCTGAACAGCATACTCAAGACTGCAACAGCACAGGCATTTTGATGCCATAATTCAGAGGAAGAGGTGTCAGTTATGAGACACTATTAAATAAACAAAATATTGCAAGAGTGCTAATGTTTTAAGCATTTTTAAGTAAAAAAAACACACCTTTGTGTTTGTGTCCTTTATAAAGTTTATACCTCCGCTACCTGGTCTTACATTTTATGACACGCATGGCCCGGCCCAACAAGGTCTCATTTATGTCAGATCCAGCCCTCATAACAAATGAGTTCGACACCCCTGGGTTAAGCACTCCTTCCACTACAAAAATTACTCTCTTCCCTCTGCCACTGTGCTACAATCTGCTACCAAACAGACACTGCCAGCCTAGAACGATGGAGTCCGCAAGCAAACAAGTTCTTGCAGACTCAGAGGAGAAAACATCATGTTCAAGAACAACTTTGTCTGAGGGAGCCAAGCCTGGCTCCTGGAGTTTTCTGGCGTGTACGAGAGAAGCATGTGCGCCGTGATGACGTCACTCGGAGGTGACATCATCACGCTGGGCACATCGGGCGCGACAGGGCTCTTTGGGGGCAGTGCTCCCCCTGCAAATGGGGGGGGGGCGGAAAGTGGGGGGAACCCATGGGGGGGTTAGCAAGCCTGTGTGGGTAGCCACATTATTCTGTAGTAGAGTAAAATCTGAGTCTCGTTGCACCTTGAAGACCAATGAAATTTCTAGAGCATAAGCTTTTGTAAGTCTAAGCTCCCTTCATCTGACACCTCGTTCATGGGACTTGAACTCTGACCTCCAAGAAGGAAGCACAAGCGAGCGGCAATGTTGCCAGGGATGCGTCACAAGCCACAGGAAGATCACGACCTGGTTCTTGATCTAATTTTAATTGGGGGGGGGATCAAAATGACAAGGGGCACGGGAGACTGACTCTTCAGGAGGTTTTAGCATGTCTCCCAGTTGCTCAAGACCTACAAAGCCCAGGGCATCATGAGGAACCAGTTTGCTCTTCAGTTGATAGGGGAGTACTATACATTCCTTTGCACGCTCACAGCAATGAAGAAGAAAATGTACGCCATTAAGGACAAAAGCATTCTAGTTCACTGTTTGCCACTGACGATGGGAAATCTAGTTCATGAAAATTCATGCTACAATAAATCTCGAGAGACTCTTTGCTGCTTCAGATGCTCAAAGACGCATATGCAAAATACAGAAATACCCTTGGAGAAAAATCAATGCATGCAATTAACACAAGAAGAGGGGAAAGTCTTTCGGGGGGGGGGGAATTATAAGTCTTTATCCTTTAAGTTTTGCTTTGTCTTCCTCCAGTATTCCCTCTACACCCAAAGTCCTCATCCTTCAGCTGTTCCTAGAAATTATGCATAAAGACAAAGCACTGAAGCACACCTGAGAGTTTCACATACATAGAAAGACTCCAAAGAGCATCTTGGCCATTTGCAATTTTTTAAAAAATTGTTGCTTGTTAAACAGTATATAGTCTGCTATCTTCATCCCCCCATGTCAGGGGTCCCCAACCATTTTGAGCCTGTGGACACATTTGGAATTCTGACAAAGCGTGCTGGGGGCAGCCACAAAATGGCTACCACAAAATGGCTGTCATAAGAGGTGGAGCCAGTCATAAAATGATTTGACACAGCTTAATTTCAGTGACACAGTGCAGATCCTTCTGCTGTGGCGGCAGCGGCTGCCAAATGCAACATTAAAAAAAATCTGCCCAGCCAATCAGATCTCCAATAGTCAGTCAGAAGCCAGGCCCTGCCCGGTTCCTCAAAACACATGGCGGGCAGTGTTTCCTTTAAGCTGAGTTAGTGTGAGCTAGCTCACAGTTTTTTAGCCTCCGGCACACACATTTTCATCTTAGCTCAGCCAAATCGCGCGCTCACAACTTTAATGCCAGTAGCTCACAGGGTAGAATTTATGCTCACGAGACTCCACCGCTTAGAGGGAGCATTGACGGCGGGCGCCAGAAAAAGTGTCTGCAGGCTTCATGGTGCCCATAAACCCTACGCTGGAGATGCCTGCCCGGTGTCACAAGCTGTGTCTGAAAGCCAACTCAGTTGCCAAAGTGGATTGCCCCACGGGAGGGAGGGGGCTACTGTTCAAAAGACTCAAGCCTAAGCCTAGGGAGCGCAGAATTAGTTTTACAGCTCTTTGGATTCCAGCTATGACGTGTGAGCCTCCAGAGAAAATTATTTAGGTGGATGAGACAACTGGTCCTTTTACCTCCTGCCATCGTCAGGGCTGCGTCCAGCGCCGGGCGCACTTCCTTCCCCAGCTGCTCCTGGACTCTGTTGCCAAGCAAGGGCCCCACGTCTGCCCCAAAAGAAGACCGGGGACAAAACCGGTTAGGTCCACGCATCAACCTCACACACTTGCCCACCCTCAAATGTCAGGCTTTTTACCCCTCCTATTTTCCCCTTCTTGAAGAACAGACGTGAAAAGTTTGGTACATAGGGTCTGGTTGCAGAGCATCTGAAAACATTTCAGACATGTTAACACAGCATGACACCAAAATAGTCCTTCTGCTCTTGATGCTAAAGTCAAGCTCGCTTCTTGAGGTTTTCTCTCTTCCTCTTCTAGAAAGGAGTTTCTGCTCAAATAAGGATTCACAGTTTGAGGAATTATGTGACATGCCCTGGAAAGCCATAGTGGTTAAGAGTGGTGGACCCACTAGGGTGGCCACCCCCCTTCTGGAGCCAGGGGATCTCCCAATCCACTGCCAGCCAGCAGTGGAAGCCCCACTCTTGAACACCAGTGTTCTGTGGGGACACTGCTGACACAATGTCGTCACCGGTAGTGACGCTCTAGTATTCAGGAGGAAATGCTATGGTTACCACAGAGTTTTGCTCCACACATGCTAGAGCGTCACCACACGAAAGCCCTAGCATGATGATGTCACTACTGGTGACATCATCGTGCCGTGCGCAAGAAGACTCCTGACAAGGAGCTGGGAGCCTCCCACTGCAGCAAAGTTGAGACCTGGCAACCCTGTTCCCAGCTCCTCCACATCCTTTCCTCTCCTTTTATGATATGGCTCTTTTGGCCACAGCCTTTAGCCTAAGTTGAAGGGGAGGCTGGGAGGCTGAAGTGGGGGCCCACCAGTATCATCTCTACCTGCGGGACCGCCTTTCCGCGTACGTTCCCCCAGGAGCACTAAGATCTGAGTCGCAGGACCGGCTAGTCCCCCCTGGCCCTAGGGATGCCAAACTAACAACTACTAGAACTAGGGCGTTCTCCTTGGCTGCACCAATATTATGGAATCAGCTCCCTCATGAGATCCGCGCTCTCCGGGATCTCTGCCAGTTCCGGAGAGCGGTGAAGACGGAGCTATTCCGCCAAGCATTTAACAACCCGGACTAAGCATGATAGCACTTTATAGTTGCTGCCATGGGTATGTTATACTGTGTGTAAATTACGATTTTATTGTACTGTTATAGATTGTTTTAGAGGCATTGTTTTATTGGTTTTAATGTTGTAAGCCGCCCTGAGACGCTTCGGCGGGAGGGCGGGATAAAAATAAAATCAATCAATAAATAAATATCAGTTGGGGGAGGGACAAGCCTCGGTGGTTCCGGCAGCCTGGAACCATGCAGGGCTCACCATCAATGGTGGGAGGAAGCCTCGGTGGACCTGACAATGGAGGCTGGAAGCAACACTGGGCCTCGGCAGCAGCGATGGAAGGAAATCCCGCACGAGTGTCGCTGGCCCCCCACTTGCATTATTTTAATCTGCACAGCATAGCATTAATCTGCACAGCACTGCAAATTTAAATAGCCAATCAGAAGCCTGGCTGTGTAGGAGTGCCACCTGGCCCCACCCACTTTCTAGAAACACTTGGTGGGATCCCCGAACGTGGGTGATGTCATCTCACTGGGCACATCAGTGCTTTTCAGGGGGTGGGGCTCCCCTACCAGCTAGCTGGGTGGTGGTGGATTGGGCCCCCAAAAGTGGGGGAACCCCTACCCCAACTGGGGAGATGGCAACCCTACCCCCCACCAGAAATTGCCCCCCGGTACCAGGTAAGTAGATATGTGTAGAGTGTCTGCAGTATCAGCATTCAAACATGAGCCAATGATAATCCCTTACTTTGAATGCTGATACTGCAGACACTCTACACGTATCTACTTACCTGGTAACCTGACAACCCGGGGGGGGGGGGGGGCTGACTTGCAGGCAGGTAAATCTCCCATTTTAGTATGAAGTGCCCATTTTAGTAATTAAAGCCCTAGTTAATTGCTATGTTTCCTAACACGGTTTTGAATCCCACCTTCCCCTGCAAGCCTTATGACCGGCAACATCTCTTGAGAGAAGAATGTAGGAACTCTGAATGTAAGTGCTCTAATTAGATCAGCAAAGGATCCCTGGTATGATCATAAGCAAATCACTGTTCCCTGGACAGCGGAAGGGGTGCTGTATGGCAGATCGGTGACTTCTAGGCATGCCTGCTCACAGACAACTGCTGCATGCTTAAATTCATATAATCAAATTCCAATCACACATTTCCTTCAGAATTCGGAACCCCAGGTTCATTTTGTGATTTATCATTTTAATAAACGTTATGGCCGTTTTTAGAGATTTCTGAGAGGGTGGGATGGGGGGGGGTGAGAGAGCAAAAGTGAGAAAATGCACACACACACACACACAAGACAGAAAGTGCACATTCCAAGTAAAAGACACTACAGAGTGATTACTCCCAACTGCAAAGAAGGAGCAGATGCTCAGAAGACCATCATTTACTTAAGGCACGTCAAGAAAGACAGTATTTTCTTTTACTTACTGTTAAGATCAGAAAGTGCTCTCCGCTTGGTAGTATTATACTGGCTCACCAAATAATCGATTTGCTAAAAAAGTTAAGACATACATTCTTAAACATTTTTTTAAAAAATCATATACAGACATGTACCAATACTTTAAGCGGCAATGGTCTTACACTGGAGCAACACTGTGTAGGACTGCACACTATTAAATTTATGAATTACAAATTCTACTCCTCACAACAGAATTAGAAAAGACTGAGAAACCAATCTCAAATCTGCTGCTCTCTGTGGAATCCAACAGGCACGAATGCCCATTTCTCGAGAAGTTCTCAAACGACCTGAGAAAGGATGACAATTCTCCTTCTGGTTGCTCCTTCTGGTTCCGTCTACAGCATATGGCTGGGATGCGGCAGTCGGAGTCGTGGGGACAGGAGTGAGATGCTGCCGCCTATGCCGAGAGAGTACTAGTGTCTGCCAGGGCCTGTCGATATTCCCTCACCAGGAGCACGCTGTGATAACTGTCTTGCTGAAGGACCCAACAGAGATTAGAGAAGGTGATACTTTCCACCCAGGGGGAAAACGAATGAGAGGATGTATGAGAACACAACAGAGATTTGGATCGGTCAGAAGAAGGAGCTGTAAACTGCTTGAAAAGTAAAAAAATCTTGAAGGGCAGAGTTCCTCCCTCTGATGTGGGGTTGCAAACCAGCTGCTCTTGGCTGAACCCACATGGCGTATTCATACATTTGGCAGAAAAGCAAATACGAAAGCATTTTGAAGTGCAGCAGGCAGGAAGAGGAAGTGCTGGGCCCATTAGGGGCGCCGCCACCACCTCTTAGAAGGGAAGAAGACAAAGAAGAAGATGAAGATGACAAAGAAGAAGAGTTGGATTTATATCCCGCTCTTCACTTGGAGTCTCGGAGCAGCTTACAATCTCCTTCCCCTCCTCTCCCCACAACAGAGGTGAGGTAGGTGGG